GAATGAATAAAGCTAATAAAACGTTGTGAAAAGATGTTCTTTTTTTCATCACGATCGATTTTAATTTCGCCCCTCATCAAAGGTGTAGTTGGTACTGTCATTTGTCTTCGTTTTCGGGAGCGTTTCAAAAATACCCTGTATACAAATAAATTTGTTTATCTGTGTTATTGTTGTTTAATAACTGCCTTATATTAATATTACTATACTGAGCTTAAGCTTAGTGGGTTATTAGCACGCTATTAAAACATAAATAACTACTTTTTACGTAGTAGAGCCAGATACAGCTTTATAATAGTAAGTTACTACACTCATTATAGGAAATAACAGCTTAATGCTACTATTTCCTATGATGAGTGTAGTGAACCGGATACCCTAACCCTAACCTAAAACCTTGACTATTAACGAGGCATTCCATTTTAGTCCTCAGGAGTGATAACACATCTGCATTTTGATTCTGAAAAGGGGGGGGGGGAGTTGTAGACATAGGCATTGGTATTTTGAAAAAAAATATATGTAAACTACTGTTGGTCTGTCAATAGATACATTATATGGCATACATTATCCTAATGATTCACTAGCAGAGGCTGCCAAAATGCAGGCAGAGGCAGCAAAAGTGCAGGCAGCGTCTCTTTATTATCATAGGCTGCCAATAAAATAGGAGATGTTTTAACATTATACGTAAATATAAATAATAAATAAATTAAGATGTTTAATGTTTTATTTCAATTCACATAATAAAATAGAATAATTTTATTAAATATAGATTTTTTAGTTATTTTTTACTTTTACCACTGGTTCGAAAAAAAAAACCTCTGTTCTGGGAAGAACCAGCAAGAAACCTAGCGGGACTTTTTTTTAAATAAAATCAATTTACAATATATTACTTTATACAATTAATATGAAACATTTACTATACACATCATTAGTATAATTACATTATTACTAATATAACCTAATACTGTAGATAATTAAGTATAAGCAGTATTTATGAGTCTTTGCAGGCGCTCTGCAACAGCTCCCCCAGTGCCAATTACTCGTCCTGTGATAAAAACATACAATTTTAAGATTATTCTAATACAGCATAATACTATAGATAATTAAGTAAAAGCAGTATTTATGAGTCTTCTTTGTATACGCTCTGCAATAGCTCGCCCAGTGCCAATTACTCGTCCTGTAATACATACAATATTAAGATTATTCTAATATTACAAAGACAACATAGTCTAATCTAATATTACCTAAGCAACGTTATTACCTGTGTGGGTTGCGTAGGTGAAATAAAATGTTACTCACAGTCTCTTGGTATTTACTCCGAATTACAACGCAACAGTATAGCACAAGCACAGACAGTTTGCAGGAAAGTATAGAGTACAGAGAAGAAGCAGAGAAAGTTCACAATAATTATTTAGCAGTAAAAACAATAATACGTAAACGGGCAATTCTAAAGATGTTAACATGCACTTCACGTCAGGAGCAGGTTCCGACTGGCGGGAGGTCCGTAAGACTCGGACGATGCGCATGAGTCGAACGAGGTGGCGAAAACAAAAGAACCGGTCTCGGTATGTCTGTTTCCATTTGTGATATACGTCACGACGGCGCGCTGGCTGAGTGTAATAACGTATTGTGTGTTAATATAAAACTAATGTATAAATACATATACATATTATATAAATATTATAGACACAAAAGTAATACTGTTTAACATTAATTAATAAATAAATATAATAGTATGATGCTAAATAAGAAATGTTATAAATATATAATTTTATAAATGTAGGAGAATAGCCTACATCACTCCCCCCCAGAGACCATCCTATGGGCGATAATAGTCCGGAAACCGTACTCGGCGTCCAGAGCGTGTTACGCGTTGTGTTTTTATGTGTGATGTTGGTGTGGGAATGATTGGGTTATGTGGTGTGTGTACAAATACACTCTATTTGTCTGTGAGTATGTAGGCCGGTTTGAGTCGTTCTATCGATACAGTGATTCTTTGCCCTTGAACACTTTGTTACCGCGTGTGAGGGCTTTATGTGGACCGGTGTAGGCAGGTTGTAAAGAACTTCGCAAAGCATCTTCGCGAAGAAAAACAAGTCGCAAGAATTGAGATCCTTAAAAACAAATGTCTTCTCGGTGTTGTGCCGAGTTGTTGGTACCGGTTGCAAGATGTTGGCGATATTACGGAGTAGTGCAGTGAACTCAGTGATGTTCACAGGATCATCTGTGCTGGGTTCAAAGAATTCGCCAGGCAATCGAAGAGGCTCGCCGTATACGATTTCTGCGGAAGACGTTTGCAGATCAGCCTTAAAAGCACTGCGTATGCCAAGTAAGACCCATGACAGTGATTCAGTCCGACCACTGTCAGCATGACACATAATAGCGGCTTTTAACTGTCGATGAAATCGTTCGACTATTCCATTGGACGCAGGATGATAAGCTGTTGTGCGCTTATGTTGAAAACAAGCACTTCTTGATAGGTGTCGAAACAGGGCTGATTAAAATTGTCGTCCTCGGTCTGTGACAATTTCGTCAGGACAATCATAGCGAGCAATCCAATGGAATAGCAAAGCTTGTGCAACAGTTTCGGCTGTAATGTCGGCTATTGGTACTACCTCAGGCCATCGCGTAAAACGGTCGATTGCGGTGAGGCAGTGTCGCGGTAGCCTTTTGATAATGGAAGTGGAGCTATGAGGTCAATATGGACGTGTCGAAAACGCGTGCGAGGTAAGGCGAAAGTACCCCAAGGTGAGGATACGTGTCGACTTACCTTGGAACGCTGACAGGCAATACATGTTTTAGCCCAGTCTCGACAGTCCTTCATCATACTTAGTCAGACGTAGCGTTCTGCTACAATTTGAGCAGTGGCATTTGCTCCAGGATGGCTCAGGGAAGGAACACTGTCAAAGACTTGTTTGCGAAGGGTTTTGGGCACAAATGGTCTACGGATTGGTGTCACAGTACAATGTAGTACTGCAACTAGGAATTTTGTACTGTTCAAAGCGGAGTGACGACGAACCAGTTTTTGTAAGCTGGACAAGTTCTACGTCATTGGCTTGGGACTCAGCTAAGGTGGCGAGATCGACGGGCGCTTCCAGTTCCTCAAAGCGACTTAAAGTGACGGCAACAATGTTATCTTTGCCAGATATATGCCTTATGTCGGTTGTGAACTGGGCTATGAAATCTAATTGTCTATACTGACGAGGCGAACAGTTCTCTTTCCTTTTATGGAATGCAAAACTGATCGGTTTATGGTCAGTATAGATGGTAAAGTGTCTCGCCTCCATCACATGATGAAAGTATTTAATATCTTCATATATAGCTAATAACTCTCTGTCATATGGGGAATACCTCCGCTGAGTTGGGCTTAACCTACGTGAAAAGAACGCATGTGGTTGCCATGCTCCGTCTTTGAGCTGTTAAAGTACAGCACCTATAGCTACGTCCGACGCATCTGTTACTAATGCGAATTTGGCTTCGCAGTCTGGATGGGCTAATAAAGCTGTATTAGATAGACTACGTTTGCAGTTTTCAAAAGCTCTGATTTCTTTCTCTGTCAAAGTTATTGGTTGGCGACCTTTGACTGCGCCAGTCAGGAGGTTGTTAAGAGGTGCTTGTGTTTGGGCGGCAATGGGTAAAAATCGCCTATAAAAATGAATGATACCCAAAAATCTCCTCAACTGACGTAACTCCTTGGGTTATGGGTACTCCAGAATGATCTGTACCTTTTCTTCAAGGGGCTTGGTGCCACTTTCCGAAATACGGTAACCAAGGAAAGTGACTTCGTCAGCACCAAAAATACACTTAGAGGTGTTTATAAGCATCCCATATCTCGTGAGTCTGTCAAATACCTCGCGAAGATGTTTCTCGTGTTCCTCTTCGTTTCGTGAAAATATTAGAAAGTCGTCAACAAAATTCTAAGCCCCTGGTCATCTCATCCACGAATCGTTGGAAGGTTTGCGCTGAGTTGCACAAACCGAACGACATGTAAGGGAACTCATAAAGTCCAAACGGTGTTTTCGGGATGTCGTACTCACTGACAGGTATTTGGTTATAAGCCTTAACCAGATCGATAGTGCTGAAGACCCTATAACCAGCTATACTATGGGTAAAGTCGTGTATACGTCTGATTGGATACCTGTCAGGGATCGTGCGAGCGTTGAGCATTCTATAATCCCCGCACGGGCGCCTACCGTCTGCCTACGTCTTTAACTTACCAAGTAACCATGTACGGCGATCCCCATTGTCAAAATGTCGTTTCATGGTTGAGCGTACAGGTGAATTTGCCCATATGTGAGCATCGTGTCGAGCTTCTAGCCATTTAGCATTGATGTTCAAAATTAACAGATCTGGGTCACACACCTAAAATAATTTAAAATATTCTTTTAATTAGGGGTGTACCTATTTGTGCTAATAAATAAGTAAATAGATTTATTTATTATTGATGATGTTTCAGAGTGTAATTAGATGCAATTAAATTATAATTTAAGCCCTTAAGACTAATGAGTATAATTTAAACTTTTTCACTTAAACTGCTGAGTAAAATGTATCCAATAACACTTTTTAACTATCAATAATAAGGGGAAGATCCTTTCTTCATGTTTTCAAAGCAAGTTATGCAGTCTGTAAATAGCCTCAATACCTGTTGATCCCAAATTGTCCTGTACATTATTGTAATAGTAATAAATTTCATGGAGACATATTTAGTTGTTTTAAAAAGCTTCAGCACCGCTCCCAGGGGCCTATCACTTTTATACATTTTGTGTTTTTAGACGCGTTTATGTTTCAAACATTAAGTCCAAGAGGGCGAATTTTTTCACTTTGCCTGCCATCTTGGAAACCCATTCATTCCGTTTGACATGTGTTTGAATTGTGGATTTTTGTGGATTTTTCGACGATTTCGGCTTGCTTTTTGGACTTGGTACCTTGATTCTATTTACGTTAACTCACGGACTTCTTTTCGGATTTTGGATTGCCTTACGAATTGGATTCTATCGACATTAACCATGGCTGTTGAAAAAAGATGCTGTGTACCTAATTGCAGCAAAAACCGTAAGTATTTAAATATTTATATCATAAAATTATTACAAGGTACAAAAATAAAACCTACTTAATATATATACTTAATATAAAAGGAGATGGAAAGTGCACGTTATTGTGTACAGACGTGTCATATAGTAATTAAAATAATTAAATAAGTATGTGCTTAGCCGTGACCTCGTTACAACAATACCGGTAGTAACTGTGACATACTTTAGTTATATTTGTGTTAGTGATATTGTTGAAATGTTTTAGCTTAATCTAGTATAGGTACTAAAATGGAGAACAGTCCTTTCAACCGGAGTGCCAGAACCACTCGCACCCCGCCTCCATCAACCCCACCCACTGTCATGCAGACACCCACCTCAAGCGAACCAATCAAAACAATTCCAACTCCTGAGTTGCAGCAGTGGATGACAAGCATTGACCTGTGCCTTAACGAGGTGTGCTCCATCGCTACAGAAGGAAAACTAAACTCGGATCAAAAAATGCGCATCAGCTCGCTTTGTCGAAAAGTAGGCCAAAGTACATCACAATTGGTAGTCCAGTACATGTCCCTCAAAATGGATACCACTAAAGCCCAGACATCCATCGTTTGTCTACAGAACCAACTTGACCTGTCCCAAAAGCTGCAGGAACTCAAGAATAGTATCGAAGAGTCATCAAAACCGGACTCTGGAACCTCTTTTGCGGACATGGTCAAAAAAGGTGGCCAAACCCTCATTCGCCCAAACAATCTTAGTACCCTAGCAATTTATCCGAGGGACAAGTCCAAATCCAGTGATGACACGAAGTGCCTCTTACAAAAAATAATATCCCCAGAAGAACTCAAACTACATGTTCGGGGCATGAGGAAGGTCAAAAATGGGGGAGTTATAATTAGCGCTGAGACAAAAGGGGATATCGACAAATTAAAGAACTCCGAGAAGCTTGTATCTTCTGGCCTTACCATGGAAGAGCCGACTAAACGACGTCCGAGGATTGCAATTGTTGGTGTCCCTTTAGCCCTCACGGATAAAGAAGTGTTCGAGTGTACCTTCGAACAAAATATTGCCGATAAATTTCCCAAAGCCACGCGTGATTCTTTCCTGGCAACAGTCAAACTGAGCCATAAATCAGGTAAGATGTAATTACATTATCGAAGTGCCACCTAGCATCAGGAAGGCCCTTATCAATCAAGGACGAATATATATTAATTGGACCTCATGCCCAGTCAGAGACTTTACAATAGTAACAAGATGCTTCAACTGCCAGCAGTTTGGTCACTCAGCCAAATTTTGTCGTGAAAGTTGCCCTACATGTAACTACTGTGGAGAGCTTGGGCATTCCTTTAAAGAATGTAATAACAAAGCGCACGCCCCCGTTTGCGCGACGTGTAAACGTTTTAAAAGAAAATGCGACCACAAAACTTGTGATGAAAGCTGTCCAGCACGTAAATTCGCAGAGGAGAAATATATCAACTCCATAGACTATGAGGGCGCCTAAGAGCGCCGTGTATTATATTATTTACTTAGCTCTTAAACACTAGTTTTAGTTTGTCCTTAAGCTTAAGTATGGCGAATCAATTACTCAATGACCTAGAAAACTTTTCTGTGTCTGACGCTAAAACGTGTAATGTTGATGACTGTAAACACTTCCTTCCACGTACTGAAAATAAGTTAGTCTTACTTACACAAAATATTAGAAGCATAAATCGGAATATAACCGGGTTTGAAGTCTTGTTGCATAGACGGGATATAAAATGTGATATTATTGTCCTTACAGAATGTTGGCTGTCAAACCTCCCACCCCACCTACCGATTCTAGATGGCTATTCTTTACACAAAACCGAAAAAAACATAAATCAAAATGACGGTTTAGTAATCTATGTTAAAAATAATTTAAAAGTAACTGTTACAGAACCTACATTCCAGGATAGTAATTGCTTAATCATTAGAATTAATTCCGAGACGATTGTTATCGCAATTTACAGACCTCCTTTACAAAATATTGATAGATTCCTAGAGTCCCTTGATATTACCTTAAACAAACTTAGCTCGTATAAAAATATAATCTTAACGGGTGACATAAACATTAACATTACCCCTTGAAAAACAGATAACCATGCACATAACTACCTAAATATTTGCTCTTTTCATGGACTATTACGAACACATTACCACCCTACACATCAAAGTGGCTCTTGTTTAGACCATTTTGTGATTAAATCACATAAACCTTTTTTACATTAGTTACTAATTCCTTGTTTACTGATCATCAAGCAATTTTACTAACATTACAATTAGCCTTACCTAGGAAAAACTGCATACGCAACGACACTAAAGTCCATATGACGAACCTTGAAAATCACATTCGTAGCATTAATTTTGACGTTGTTTACTGCTCTGACAATGCAAATACGTCCTTGAGTTACTTTATAAATTCTTTACAATATGCAATAATGAATAATACATCAACAATAAAACTATCATGTAAGTATTATAATATTAAACCTTGGATAACACCTGGTCTCGTCCGCTGTATAAGAAATAGAGACAAACTTCATTTAAAATCTAAACTTTCTCCTGATAATTTAATACTTTCTACTACTTATAAAAGATATAGGAATTTTTGCAATAAACTATTAAAAAACCTCAAAATACAATATGACAAAAATGTTTTACAAAAGGCCGGTAAAAACAGTAAACTTGTATGGAAGTTCATTAAAAATAATACCTTCAGTTCAAAAAATCTTGGACCCCCACTTGATCTACTGTTATTAGACAAAAGCCCAAATGAAGCAACCAATAAAGTGAATAATTATTTTATTAATATTGGCAAAAAAATAGCAGAGACAACTTTAAAATTAAGCAACACTCGTAATCCAATTTTTATGCCCACATCCTTTTCTAAGTTAAATTTTTTTGTATTGTTAAATACCGATATTGATGAGATTTTAAGTATAATATCTGGCTTAAAAGAAGATTGTGCAGTTGGATGGGACAATATACCTAATCGCATACTGAAAAGATTTAAACATTTACTGGCCGCCCCGTTAACACATATCTTTCAATTATGCCTAACAAATGGTATTTTCCCGAAACTGCTTAAAAAAGCAGTGGTTTCTCCTATTCACAAAGCTGGTGATAAAAACTTAGTTAATAACTATAGGCCGATTTCAGTTCTATCTGGTTTATCCAAAATTTTAGAAAAGATCATAAACACCAGGTTAATAAAATATCTGGAAACTAATAACTTGCTGTCAGACAGACAATTTGGGTTTAGGCCTAAGAGATCTTGTAATGATGCCTTGCACCAATTGACAGAGTATGTCACAAGTAATCTTGACAATGGTTTATACTCAATTGGGATCTTCCTAGACCTTGCCAAAGCATTTGATACTATCTCTTGCCCTTTACTATTGCAAAAGCTTGAAACACTTGGCATAAGGGGAACTCAACTACAAATTTTTTCCGATTATCTAAGTGATCGCTTTCAATGTGTAAAAATCGGTGAGTATACAAGTACTGAATTACAAAACAGTTCTTTTGGAATCCCACAGGGCAGTATCCTGGGGCCTACATTGTTCCTAATTTATATAAATGACTTATGCAATCTTCAACTTCAAAATGGTGTCATAATGTCTTATGCGGATGACACAGCCCTGTTATTCTCAGCTAAATCACGAGATGAGGTTTATAAATACGCTCAGCAAGGCTTTAATATAGTATCCAATTGGCTTATAAATAATCTCCTAAGTTTAAACGCAGATAAAACACAATATATGTTATTTTTAATGAGAAATAATAACATACCTGCTGACCTTAATATTTACGCTCATCATTGTAACTCGTATGACGACATTGCATGTGCATGTCCCGCTTTAACAAAAACAGACAATATAAAATATCTAGGTATCACGTTTGACACAAATTTAAATTTCCGCAAGCACATCGATTTACTTTGTGCTAGAGTTCGTAAATTAATATATATTTTTAAATATCTTCGTAACATCGCTGACTTCAAATTGATAAGACAGGTCTATTTAGCTTTGTGTCAATCCATACTCACTTATGGCATTACTTCCTGGGGTGGTGCTTCTAAAACAATATTGCTCCCACTAGAACGTGCTCAGAGAGCAGTTCTAAAGGTAGCCACTTTCCGTCCATTCATGTTTCCTACACATCAACTGTACTTGGCATGTAGTGTATTAACTGTCCGTCAGTTGTTTATCCTGAAAATCATATTAAAACAACATACCGAACTTCCATTTAACTTAAAAACCATAGACAGGAGAAGAATGGACTTAGTTTGTGTAAACCCTCAAACCAAACACGCATTTGTGAACAAATTTTACATATTTTTAGGACCCTTTCTATATAACAAGCTCAACAAGTCACTAAAGGTATATAGTCTAAGTTATAAGGACTGTAATATAAGTGTAAGGGAATTTCTAAATAAATTAAATTACGAAGACACAGAGAAGTTGTTAGATATACTAAAATAGTTTGTATTTATTGTAGGCAATAAATAATTGTTATTTAGTTATTTTATTTATTATACAATTTAGTTTAATTATTTAAATATCTAGTGTCCTACATTATTAAACCGTTTGTATAAGTGATGTCTGAAACACAGGTACTCAACCTAGTTCAGGCAGGTAGCTAATATTATAAATATGAATTTTCTATCTTCTTTTGTAGATTCTACATTATTTAGCTACACATAGTTTTAATTTTATCATAGCATGTTATTTTTGTTAGACTTATTGTTACTTTATTAATTGTAATCATTCTGATTCCTGTATGTCAACATGTGTAATTCGAAATGAAATAAATATTTATTATTATTATTATTATTTGTTTAAACATCGCTGTAATTACAATGGCCTTAACATGTAGCAGGTTAACTTTTCAATGTGTTGAAAAACTAACCTGCTACATACCTTCTTTTTATTTAAAGAAGTATAAAATAACAGAATGAAATATATTATTTTATGCTTTAATAAGCAAGTAATCACTTATCTCTATTAAAACTTATTCATATCCACTCAATATCCGAAGATTGAAAATGTCATTAAATTATCTATATAATAATATTTAATTTACGTCTTCTTTCAGAATCGGATAATGTTATATTACATATATTTCCAAACCCAAGCAAACAAGCTGATCGGTTTCGTTCATGGGTGTATGCCATTGGTGGAGACATTTTAGCAATGAAAGATGACAATATATTTAAGTACCGCAGAGTATGTCATCTTCACTTTGAGTCAAAGTATTACACATGGAGTAAAAGACTTGCACCTAATGCAGTACCAACTTTACATTTGCCAGGTAAGTGATGTTTAATTCAATGTGTGGTTAGGCTCAATACTTTTTGGTGTTATGTAAATATGATTATTACTATTGTTTTTAAATATAATATCAAGATTTCATTCTACACCGATTATAATAAATTATAAACACATGCAATTGTACTCATATTTTGACCGCAGAATATATGATACAAAACAGTTAAATACACATTTTTAATTTATTGTATTTTTCCAGGATGCCATATAAATGTTGGTTTTGATCACCATCAGCCATCAACAAGCACTGCAATGCCTAGCATCTCACTAGCACCTAATGAAGGTAATTTCAAACAGACAACTTTTATTTAATATTTTTAAACTGTAATCTTTTATTTCTATGAGACTAACAGACTGCACCTTTGCGTGGACAACTCAAATATGTAAACTAAATGTGAATGTGTAATACATATAAAACCTTTGTCATGAAATGTTCTTATCTGAATGATAGTGAAAATTGAATAGCAATCCACTTCTCACATTGCAAAATTGTGTTATGACTAATGTAATTTTACTTTGTGTGTCAATATCATAGTGAAGTGTCAAGAGGTGACAGCAAAATGAAATAGGAAATGAACAGCTATATCTTCCTGATAACAACTTAAAATAATGAAAAAATGCATTACCTGCCAAGCGAGGCAACTATGGGCAATTATCAGACTATATTTAGTAGAAGATATTATATATTTAGTGGCTTTTGATAGGCTGCAATGAATAAATGAATTTTGATTGAGTTATGATGGCAAGTTCCAAATTGGAAACAGATCCCAATATTACAACTCCAAAATTGTTAAATAGTTTTTACACTTTGCTGGCTTTTTAGTTATTGAAACTAATGCTTATTTAAATTATTTTCAGCATCAAAGAAGACTAGGCTTTGTAAAGTATTCTCTTCTGAAGCTAACTCTCTTGTTCGCAAAATTAAAAAATTACAAGCTGATAAAGACCATTTTGCATTGAAGCTGAAAAAGGCTCTAAAGCTATCTGAAAATCCTATTTTTCAAAAAGCAATTTCTAAATTTACGTCAGCTGCCCTAATATTAACTCTGCTTCAGTTCCGTGAAATTAATAAAAATAAAATGGGAAAAAGATATTCAAAAAAAGAAAAAGTTTTGTCCTTAGCTCTTTACAAACAAGGGCCTAGAGCTTACAGGTGGCTTAGGAATGTATTTGTTCTGCCTTCTTCAGCAACACTGAGTCGCATGATAGCAAGAGCTGCTTTAAAGCCTGGAATGAATGATAATTTATTTGACGTTTTAAGTAAAAAAGTTAAAAAAATGTCCGAGACTGACAAGTTATGCATATTGTTATTTGATGAAATTGCAATCTCGCCACATTTTGAATACAACAGGAAGAGAGATATTATAAAAGGATTTGTTAACAATGGCAAGAAAAACATTATGAAAATTGCAGACCATGCTTTATGGTGAGGGGAGTGCAAAAAAATTACAAACAGCCTATTTATTATACATTCTGCTCTGGAAGCACACATAAAGATGAAATAAAAATTCAAATAAAAGAAGTGATAAGAAAACTCAAATCAGTGGGTTTGAAGGTTGTAGCGACAGTATGCGATCAATGTACCACTAACATGGGTGCAATTCATAATCTCATAGTCGAAACAAAAGCACATCATCTGAGAATAAATTCCGATTATAATAAAAATACATTTGAAATTGATGGTGATGAAATTGTGCCTTTGTTTGATCCTCCATACTTGATAAAAGGCATAAGAAATAATCTTTTGACCAAAAACTTAACGTATGTTATTAACAATAAAAAGAAAACTGCCAAGTGGGACCATATTGTTCAATTACATAAAGAAAATCCAGCCTACCAAGGCATTAGACTTCTTCCAAAACTCACAGAATACCATGTGAACCCAAAGAAAATACCTAAAATGAAAGTGAAATATGCTACACAAGTTTTTAGTAGATCAGTTGCTGTAAACATGGGATACCTAGCAGGTAACAATAACAAATAACAATCTTCTTTAGCTTTCTTTATGATTTTTACTTATTAAACTTTAATAAATAACTAAGATATTTGTTGGATTATAAAATATCCAATCATTTGGCCATAAAATCCATAAATAATAGTTTTTATTTTTAATTTGAATATACTATTCTAAATTTTTCATTCAACCTGATTTTAGTTATGAATATGATATATAATTATCATACGAGTCAAACATTACAAAAGAAATCATTCTTATCATTTGCAAATCAATAAACTTGGCTCGTGCATTGTTAGTGTCTCAACTCGTAACTAACCAACAAATTTTACATTCATATTTTTTGTGGGTGTCATAAAAGGCAACAGAGAGAAACAATGTAATAATAATAACAACTAAAAAAATCCTGTGGTTGCCAACCAAGCATGGCAACTAAGGCAAATGTCCTGCCTATGATGTTATCTATGTAAGAGATACATTAGCTAAATAAATAAATATTTATATTATTTTGTGAAGGTGTCTTATTAATAATTTTATTATTAACTTTTTTCCAGATAAAGGAATTCTATCCAATGACTGCAAGGATACTGCCGATAGATTATTATTTTTTGATGAACTCTTCGACTCTTTAAATGGAAGCTATGAAAATAATAAGAAAAGATGTGGTAAATCTCTTTTAGGTCCTTTAACCCCATCATCATCTCATCAAGTAGTGTGGGATAATGCTACACCAATTCTGAAAACCATGAAGTTTGTGTCTGTAAGCACAGGCACATCTGCTTGTGTTCCATCCATTAGGAATTGGTTACACACCATTGAAAATATCAAATATTTGAAAGCAAAATTATTCAAAGAACACAATTTGAAGTCGTTATGGTTACGTCATTTTAACCAAGACCCACTTGAGAATTTTTTTGGCTATAAGGAACCATGGGGCAAGAAATATCAATCCAACATCAGCAGGTTTTGAGATTGCATTTACATCATTGTTAGTAAATAATTTAAGTAACTCGCATTCACCAGGGGCCAATTGTGAGAAAGATTCCTGCCAACCATTGAAGTCACTGTACAAGATATTTTTTCGTAAAAAAACTCAAACCAATAACGTTACAACATAAGAAAATATTGATCATATTAATAGTCACGAGATCTTGACTGATATACATATTAAGCTAAGTAATCCTAAAATCAAGGCACAATTAGAATATATTAGTGGATATGTACTAAGAAATTTTAAAAATCATTTTTAAAATGTAAAACAAGCTTGAAAAATTTGTGTGATGAAAAAAGATCCAGTGAGTAAATTAGATTAAAAGATTATTCCAAAGAACAAAAGAGCTTGACACATCCATCTCAAGAATTCATATATTTATTTTCGTCCATTCAAGATGTCGTGACTTATATTTTAAGGACTAATAGTAATTTAAATAACATTAAAAATTATTTTAAAACAATTATGTGTATAGTTTGCGACTTCAATTTCCTAACTTGTGCGATACATAAAAATGATATAATAGAAGATATATTAGATATTACTTGCAGGTTCTTTCTACATAGTTGGACCAATAATATAAATAAAATATTAAAAGGAGCAAGAATTGATGTTGATAAAGATGATGTAATGCAATCTCAATCATTTAATTATTACTTAAAAAGAAAAAATAAACTTTTAAACAAATAAATATGTGGTTTTATTGAAGTTTCAATTTTTTTCATGCTAAATCTATTACATAACGTTTTAAGCACAATTCAGACTTAAAACATTGTGTAAATAATGAAATAAAATAAATAATAAAAAGTAAACCTATACATCCAATTCATGTTATTAGACGTAGTTATATATATTCAATATTATTTTAGTTCGGACACAGAACTGTAGTAGGCGCTGGAATCGTATTCCTTAACTGCCAACTCTATTCAAAGTACTCTGTGACCGCTCCTGAAACTTAACTAGCAAGAAAATAGGTAAACAATAACTACTTAAGATAAACTTACAACTTGTACATTTAATGAATGGCCCTCATGGTGACCACTCACATATGCTTCTTAATGCAACTTTGGAGCTAGAATTTTTATGTGTGTGCACAGTCTATGGCTCCGGAAATGGCTGTGGGGTATTCCTAAATTTTGGTTTAGCTGCTCGCCGCCCTTCATGGGTCATAGGGAATTTTATGTATCTTCTCAATAGTTTTTCGATTTTTGGCTCATGCTGCAACTCCACTGCAAGCCAACAGGTAGCTGATAGCACCCACTTGCATAAAATCGAAGTGCCGTCAGTAGCTATTTAGAAGAAAATGAAACTAAGAGTTAATAAAAACGAAAAAGAGTTAGTTTTTTAAAGGTATATAGGCAATTTTGGGGAGCGAGGCTGCTCGCGTCCGTAGGAAATACTTGAAATTTGACACCCTACATGTGCCCCCCGGGTAGTGCTAAACGAGCAGCACCAATTCCGGTGGTAGGTTTCGGCCGCTGGCTTTTCGGTTACCACCAATGCAAAGTCTTGCCGCCAAATGACTTTGTCGTGTTTCGGCATGATACTTGGTGAAGCCATATGGAGAATGGGTCTGAACAGTAGCGTTGTGTATGTAAACCGGGTACGAAGAGTCAGTTGTTGCTGTGTCGGGTGCTTGGTCGTGGAGGGTAGCGGGATGCGAAGCACGGTGTTCCGCTGGCCGACCGCAGGTAGTTAGGGGCCCAATTAGTGAATTAGCTACTTATGAAAGGCTGCCCCGCCAACTGGCGAAAAATCCCAAGGTGGCTCCATCGTGCCGGTTAACACAGTAACTCTGATAGTATCGTTTGGTTGCTAATGTAACGCCTCGCTCAACTGCCATTCTCCATCCTTATTCACTCTCAACACTAATATGTACATAAAAAAGAAAAGTAGTGTTAAACAGCGGTTGCACGTCCTCTCACTAAAAGTGCACCTCACTAATATTCGAGGATTGCACTCTGATCTCAGCGCAGTCCACCACCATCTTGAGACAAAAGCCGAACCTACTTTTCTTGACAGAGACGCAAATTGGATGTCCATTGAGTGCGGCGTACCTTGACTATCCTGGATTCTCCCTGGAGCACAAATTCCATCTACGTGCCGGAGTATGTGTGTACGTCCGCAATGACATCTGCTTCCAGCGTCACTGTCACCTTGAAGACCCCACTTTTTCGACAATCTGGGTGATGGTAGATACAGGTATTGATAAAATCCTTTATGCCTGTGTCTATCGATCGCACAGCGGTGACCAGAAAACAACACGATTATTTGATCACCTTAGTGAGGCTGCTGACGTGGCCCTGAATCGGTATCCTACTGCACAGTTGGTTTTTCTGGGGGACTTTAACGCTTGTCACCAAGACTGGCTGTTCCCATACCAAAAGACCGACCATGCTGGAAGAGAAGCGTGGAATTTTGCTTTTTCTCAAATGGTAAAGGTGGCGACAAGGGTACTCGATGTAGACGGTCACACAGCAAATTGCTTGGACCTTCTGCTGACTACAGAACCAGACAGATATGAAGTACAGGTTACTTCTCCTTTGGGTACATCTGACCACTGTCTGGTGAAATCATATTAATCGTCATATTCTCCACCTGATTACGAGTCCCAACTCGTAATCAGGTGGAGATCCGCCATATTCGTCGAACACCTTGGGAGGTGTTCGACGAATATGGCGGTATTTGGGAGGTATTGGGATGAGATGCGACACTTTTTTGCATCTTATCCTTGGTGGGAAGTTTGTTTCTCTTCTGTGGATCTGCCGAGCTGCGCGGTTGCGATAACGGATGTGTTGCGTCAAGCTATGGAGTACTTTATCCCCTTCTCTGACGCTCCCACCGGTAGCAAAGCTCGTCCATGGTTTGACGCCGAATGCTCCTAAGCTGAAGAGCGCAAGCATTTAGCTTACCTATCCTGGGTTGACGCTCGAAACCGCAAAGCTCCGGATATTAGCTCTAAGAAGAGAACTTTCAACCAGACCGCCAAGTCCTACAAAAAAAGCATTACGCAAAGCTAGTCTCGATCGCATTAAAAATATTGGCGCATAACTCTCTGCCAGACCATCCGGCACTAGAGCTTTTTGGTCTCTCGCCAAAGCGGTCGAGACAAACTTCTATCTGCCTACACTGCCTCCGTTGGTAAAACCGGATGGCACACTGGCTCATACGGCTAAGAAGAAAGCGGACTTGTTTGCGTCTCTCTTTGCCTACAATTCACGTCTGGACAGTGGCAACAACGTTCCACCAAAATTACCTCACTGCGGGACCTCTATGTCGGAGATTCGTATAACGAATAAGGAGCTTTGCGATGAGTCGGTCTGTTTCGGCATTACCGCTATGGGACCTAAAGAGGCACCCGTAGACGCGCGGATGGTCGTCGCTGTCTACGCGTAGCCAAAGGATGGACAGGTCCAAACCTTCAAGACTGCCGAGGCGTCGAGAACAGATGTCCTCTCTGACATACACGCAAACTCCAGCCCGAG